CATAGAATTGCTCACTGGGGGACTATGCAGCACTATTGGGAGCTGGAGATCGTGAAATAGGTTAACTCGTTTCCACTGCCACATATCTCTGGTCTCGCCTGGCAACTCGGATGTCCATCCGTTTGGCGGCGTCCCTCACACGAGCTTGCGTCATCTCGGCTGTGGCCGTCTATGCTACGACAACAAGAAGAACAAACTCTGGTGAGGCCTTTGCATGGCGTCCTCTTGGACAGCAGTCCTCATCAGTTTCTGGCAGTGACCTTCTATCAACTCGGTTGACTCGCACAAACCGGACACCCCATCAGGTATCTGATTGAGAGCAGCAATGCTGAGAGCACGGTTACAAAATGTGCTAAGGTTAGCAACAACCTTTTAGATGGAAGATCGTGGATGGCAAACAGATTTCACTCTGTCGATTGGTGACCTGTGAGCCTACAGACGACAGGTACGTGTGTACCAGGCTACATCCCTCGGGAGGCATCAGGTCCAGTCATACTGTTCCATCAAAGTGTGTGGATTTCCGCATGGAGTTTCCATCGATAGATAGTCAGACGGCATGCCTCGTGAAAGATGTATAGAGTCAAGAGAGTGGCAGAAGAAGCTGCAACTTGTGACCCTTAGTCCAACAAAGTGTACCAGTTTGAACAAGTTGAAGGGTACCCTCAGGTCAATTATGTAAAGGGATTTTGTCACTCTAGGAACGAGTAGCAGAAAGGCAACAAGACAGAAGCAACCTCATCAAGTGAAGTTACACTTGACCCAGGAGGCTAAAAAACTCTCAGCGCCGGTGTGCCATCTCGCGAGGACTATAAAAGGATCCTTAAGTGTTCTCCTTTTAGGATCAAGTGGGTTGGTTAATCCTTGGCCAGGCGGTATAACAGAATTTAGAATATACCCCATTCATGTGGTACTGTTTCAGGGATTTTTTCTCAATTGCTCTCAACGGGAATCGGACTCGGGTTGTAACATGTTGATTTCTCGATATGATACCACTTCACAGTAAATCCATGAGACTTTCATTTTGTATGAAAAAGCATGGAGAAT